AAAAGATGAGCATGACAATATCTGCCAGTCTACCAACTGTCTGTCTTAAACTCTGCTGTAACATTTCTGGAACTCTTTTGCTCGTGCCAGAAGCATATCACATGATCGATTCCAGCATGCCTCCCTGAGGTTCTAGCAGATTCCAGGAGGTGACATATATTTGTGCCCAAGAAAGCTAAAGAGCTATGACACGTTTCCAGTTCCCCCTCCTCTCTGTCTTGGGATCAAAGAAGAAATTTAAAAGGCAATGCCATCCATTCAAAACTACACTTCCTATCAGTCTTCTGTGTGCAGTGGAGAGCGCCCTTCTAATGGAGCTGGCATTTGAGCAGATGGCTCAAACAGAGACGTTTCCAGCTAATCTGATGGCTCTTATCTAGAAAGCCAGGCCAAAAAGGAGGCAAATAGATCTTGAGCCAGGCTATTTTGAAAGAAATGGGTTCAAAGTCATGAAAACAGGAGGGGCTGCGCTGACTTTCAACTGCTGATGAAGAAAACTCTGCATGACTCCCCTCAGCCTCAGTGATGTGTGCAGTTCTGCTTCAAGTGGCCACTCGCCAGGACCTCAGCTTGGTCCTCGACTGTTTCCCAGGCAGAGCTCAGGGTTCTGACTCCAGCTCTGTCTTCCTCTGCCAGGCCTCACTTTTCAGAGCCCCTCTTCATCAGCAATTGACAGAATCCGAAGCCTGTGTCCTTGCAGAAGCATCATCCCCCTCACCCTCACCCCGTCTGAGGGGCAGTGGAGATCACAGGGTAGGTCCTAGCTGATGTAGGATCAGGGCCCAATGGTACCACACAGGCTGGGAGAACATCAGGCAGCCCAGGTCTCAACTTATAGGGTGAGGGTCAATGAGTGAAGGAGAACAAGCCAGCTGCAAGAAGCAGGCAAACCAAGAAGACACTTCCCCAACCTCCCCTTCCAAGGCTCTCTGTAGACATCAGTTGGCTCAGTGTTAGCTAGGAACTAACAGTAGACACCCAGAAGGATGTTCAACCTCCAAAGTAGCAGCCAATGGTACATATCTGTGGATGAAATGAAGTGAAATCCAGGGATCCAATCAGATGTAGAAAATGTGAGCCGGGTGTGATGGCACACGCCTGTAATCCCAGCACTCCGAAGGCTGAGGCAGGAGGATCACTGTGAGTTTGAGACCAGCCTGGGCTACATAGTGAGTTCCAGGTCAGCCTCAATTACACAGTGAGACCCTGTCTCAAAAAAAAAAAAATGTAGAAAATGTGGATCAGAATATAAAAGAAAAGATTGGTAATTTTTCATTCTCAGTGAGATATGGAAATTCCAAGAAGTTCTTCATTGGTATTTGGATTTGTTCCTTAATGTTTCTCATTGGATAGCTTTTGATTTAACATACTAATGAACTATGCACATATGATTTCATTTTTATTTAATTTTCAAAACCAACAGCCAACATCATACTAAATGGTCAAAAACTGAAAACCTCCATGCTAAAATCAGGAATAAGATAAGGATGTCCACTATTGTTCAATATAGTTTTGGAAACATTAGCCACAGCAACTAGACAAGAGAAAGAAATAAAAGGAATAAAGATAGGAAAGGAAGAAGTTAAACTGTCATTATTTGCTGACAATATGATACTTTCTCTACAAAGAAGACCCAAAAAACACCGCCAAAAGACCTCTAGACTTAATGGACAGATTCAGTAGAGTAGCTAGATACATGGTCAACACTCAAAAATCAATAGCCCTCTTATACACAAATAACAGACTCATTGAGAGAGAAATTAGGGAAATAATCCCTTTCACAATAGCATCCAAAAAATTGAAATATCTGGGAATCTAATGAAGGAAGAAAAAGACCTCTACATTGAGAACTACAATACTCTGAAAAAAAGAGATTGAAAAGGATATAAGAAAAGGGAAAGACATTCCCTGTTCCTGGGTAGGAAGAACCAATATAGTGAAAATGACCATACTTCCAAAACTGCTATACAGATTCAATGCAATCCCAATTGAAATCCCAACAGTATATTTCACAGAATTAGAGAAAACAATCCAAAAATTCATTTGGAACCAGAAAAGACCTAGAATACCAAAAGCAATTCTAGGCAACAGAGACATGGCAGGGGGTATCACAATCCCCAACTTGAAACTATACTATAAAGCCACTGTGAAAAAACAACAACAACAACAACAAAAAAAAAACAAAAAACAGCGTGGTACTGGTGAAGACACAGACCAGATCAATGGAATAGATTAGAAGATGCAGAAACAACACCAAACATACTCAGCTACCTCATCTTTGACAAAGGAGCCAACCATTCTCACTGGAGGAAAGACAGCCTCCTTAATAAATGGTGTTGGAAAAACTGGATCTCAACTTGCCAAAGATTAAAACTAGACCCCTATTGGGCCAGGGATTTAGCTCCGTGGTTCTGCCGCCTGCTTCAAAAGCACAAGGAACCAAGTTCAATTAAAAAAAAAAAAAAACCTAGACCCCTATCTTTCACTGTGCACTAAACTAAAATCCAAGTGTATTAAAGATCTAAATATTAAAACAAAAACTATATACTTGCTGGAAGATAAGCTAGGTAGAACTCTCAAAGACACTGGCATAGGAAGACTTTATGAACAAATCCTCAGTAGCAAGAGAACTAGCACAAAGAATCAACAACTGGGATCTCATCTTACTAAAGAGCTTCTGCACTGCAAGAGAAACCACCAACAGAGCTAAGAGACAACCTACAACAAGGGAAAAAAATTTTTACCAGCTGCTCCTTAGACAAAGGTCTACTATCTAGAATATATAAAGAACTAAAAAATTCAGGCTCCCCAAATATAAAGACCCAATTCAAAACTGGGCATTTGAAATGAATAGACATTTCTCAGACAAAGAAGTAAAGGCAGCAAATAAACATATGAAGAAATGCTCAACATCAGCAGTCATTCAAGAGATGCAGATGAAAACAATGCTGAGATTCCACCTCACCACAGAAAGAGTGGCTGCTATCATGAAATCAACCAATAACAAATGCTGGCGGGGTTGCGGGGAGAAAGGAAGAAAGGAAACCTTCTCCACTGTTGGGGATAGCGCAGACTGGTGCAACAACTGTGGAAATCAATACGGAGATACCTCAAAGAACTAGGATAAGAAGTCTTATTTGACCCAGCTATCCCTCTGCGAGGTATCTTCCCAAAAGAATTAAAAGAATCATACCACAGTGATACAAGCGCACCCATGTTTCTAGCAGCACAGATTGTAATAGCTAAAACTTGGAAACAGCCCAATTGCCCATCAACTGGAGACTGGATAAAGAAGATGTGGGTTTTTTTTTTTAATAAAATGGAGTACTACTCAGCCATAAAGAACAAGAAACTAGAGACATTTATAGCTAAGTGGATGCACATTGAGGCTGTACTCTTAAGTGAAATAAACAGGACATACATGTAAATACTGATTAGTTTCTGAGGTGTGAAAAACTAAAAGTGTAAACAAGGATCAAAATGCAAAATTGATATTGTGAAATAGGAAGAAAATGCCTAAAGGAGTAGGGGAAGTGCGAGGGGTAGGGGAAAGAAAAAGAAAAAATATGAGAAATGGAAAAACTTGGAAACAAAGTATTTGTAAATAGGGAAGGGTGTGGGCCAGGGATGTAGCTCAGCAGCACAGTGCCTGCCAGGCAAGTGTGAGGCCCTGGGTTTGATTCCCAGTACCAAATTTAAAAAGTGAAAAAAAAAAAAGTAAATAGGGAAGGGTGGAAGGCATGAAGGGAAGGCAATGGGGAAAAATAAAAACCAAGATACAATATATAAAGGTACAAGATCCTAATGGTGAATATAACTGTATTGTATACCTAAAATGTACCAATAAACTTAAAAAAAAAAAACTAGATTGTACTTAGGTAACTATAAGTACTTTTTATAAAGAATTTTTGTTCAATTATTTAGAAAAAGAGAAGCCAACTGTTCATTTATTCAACACCTATTTATCGAGCAACTCCTGAGCCAATTCAGTGAACAAATACAGCCATGGGTCCTGTTCTCATGGGGCTTGCATAACTTCAGAGAAAGGACACTCCATATACACCTAAACACTGGAAGAGAGGCTCCAGGCTGATCCCAGGTTGCTACGGGAACACCTGAAGTGGGGAGGAAGGAGCAGGAACCCAGGAGGGCTGCCACTTAGGGACTAAAAGATTTGGGGAAGAACAGGTGTTACACAGGTTTGACTGAAATTTTATTTATATATTTATAAACAAGTTTTTGCTTTGCGGTCCAGGCTGGCCTTGAACTTACTGAGTTGTTCAAACTCACAACTCCTCCTCCCTCAACCTCCCACATGCTGGGATCACATGGCCCAGCTGCAATCCCCTTTTCACAGATCACCATGAAAGCCAGGGGTGGTGGCGCACGTCTATAATCCCAGCTGGTTCAGAGAGGGCACAAAGCCTTCTGAGAAGGAGAACGGACCGTATTCGGTGACAGACTGGCGGTGGAGGAAAGGCAAGGAGAATCAGGGACAGCTGTTGGGGAGGTGGCCACACTCACCGGGAGCAAGAACATGCAGAAGAGGGCCGAGGATTTACCTCAATGGCACTGAACCTGCCTCACAAGAACCAGGTCCCGAGTTCTATCCCAGTATAAAAAAAGAAAAAAAAAACCATGCAGGAGAGATATGGTTCCTCAGGGAAGAAGGCATACGTAGAACCAAAGCCAGCATCATGGTCACATTGCCCTGGCTGCCTCCACTCTCCTACATACACACCACTCTCCCTCTCCCTCTGCAATCCCTGCCATACTAACCTCTTTTCCATCCCTCAGACTCGCCAAACTCATTCCCACCAAAGGCCTTTTCGCGCACTGTCCCTCTGGCAGGAACACCATGCCCCAGCCTTTGTCTGGCCAGATCCTCACTGTTCAGGTCTTGATTCAAATGTCACCTCCCCAGAGATATATCTGTAGCACAACCCCTACCTGAAATTACCTCATGTCTTTTTTTTTTTTTTTAATAGGTCCATCAAATGTACCTTGGCAGCGGAACACAGGGCTCTGCGGGCAGGGACCTCACTGTTCTCCAGCACCCTGCTCACAGGGTTTATGGAGTAGACACTCAGGAGCCAGGTCAGGCAGGCTGCTGTCTTCAGAGGCTCAGGCACAGAGAGAGCCATCCCAGTGCCTGAAAGAGCCAGGTTAGGAGGAGGACCTGGGCAGACATGCTGGATGGGAGAAGAGAGGGAAGGCAGAGAGGAGGCAAACCAAGGAGCACAAGCTAGCAGCTGGGGAACCTGGACTAAACCCAGGCAGGGATTGAGGCCAGGTGCCCAGACTGAAAAACACACATCTCATCATGAGTCCCACTGAGTATGTACTACCATCTCCCACTCCCGACCACAGGAGAGCAGAAGCTGCACGAGTGGTGGCCCTAGGCTTTGGCCCCTGGTGATGCTCTGGAGTCCATGCCTTCCTGTCCATGTCACCTCATAGAAGCCAGGGGAGCAGTGCAAGAATGACGGACAGGTCAGCCACAGCAGAAGTGACCAGGAGAGGCTGAGACAAGGCTTGAAAAGCTGCCCTGGGCATTGGTGATTAGGTGGAGAGGGGTGGAGGCCAGGCTGGGGAGGACCAAGGGACAAGTTGGAGGCCAAGAAGTTGGGGTGGCAAGCAGGACAGTTCTGAGAAGCTTGGCTATAAGAGAGTAACTGGAGGAGGCTGTGGGGGCAAAAGATGGCTATTTTAAGGCAGAAGAAACCCGAGTGTGTTTTGATACTGGAGCCAGCAGAGGAGCCATTAAAGGAGCTGAGTTCAAGAGGAAGCTGGCAGGGCAGGCTGGGGTGAGAGGGGAGCACAGCCCTCCTCCACTGGCTTCTGTCTTCTCTGGGAAAGCAGGAGGTGAGGGTCTGAGCAGACCCCTGAGGTACAGGATGCTCAGGGTCTGAGCCTGGCAAAAGCTTGAAGGAAGACATTTGAGAGGACAGAGAACTGGCTGGTGTGGTAGCCAGGCAATGGCAAGGGTCCCAAGGGCCTACGTGACCATTCCTAAAACCATCAGTCTGCCTAGAGCACAAGGTCAAAGAGCGGAGTGCAGCATGACTGAGGTTTTACAGAGGCAGTTCCACAGGAAAGGGAAATTAGGACACAGTCAAGAGAATTGCCAAGGAATCTAAACTGGAAGGGGAGAGAAGGGTCTGAGGGACGGGGAGGAAGCAGAGAACACGTCGAGGGACCCTAATGAATGTCTGCCTGAACAGACTTCCTGAAAGACCAGGATTGGCCCTAAAGCTTAGCATGTGAAGTAGGGTTCTCAGAGGTGGGGGGTCCTGAGTAGGACACAGCAGACAGACAGACAGAGGAGCCATGCCAATGGGGCACATGGCTGTACCCTTTCCAGTTGCAAGGGAAGGATGGCAGCCAGACAGTGAAAGGAGGTACTTTTCGTTTGTTCTGCTTTTGGTTTTTATTTCACCTGGGTGAGACATGTACATGGTGTACCATTAGCACAATACAGAATACTTTAAAAAGAAATCTATCCCTCTGAAAAAAAGAAATTAATACCTAAAAAGAAATTCTCCACCCTGGGACAGCATGTTAGCACTTTCTCCTGTGTGGGGACTCCTTTCTCTGAGGCTAAACTGAGGAGTAGTGGTGTGTAGTCGGGTAGGCTGGAGCCTTCCCCACCTTCTCCAAGGTAGCCAACTGTGGGCCCCTTTCCAGCATCTCAGAACTTCTGAGAACTAATACTCCTGGCCAGTCTCTCAGTTTCCGAAAACCTCTCTCCCCCAACTCACAATAGATGGGTCCCTGGCTTCCTCCGTCTCCTTGACAGCCTCACCTTTGCCCTGCCTTTAAGTGGGGGTCAACTAGGTCTGCACCCCCAGATTTCTGCCCTCCGCAACCTGATTCGTCATTCCACAGCTCCATCTCTTGCAACATCAAGGCCCAGAACTCCCCGTGTTGAGCTCCAGCCCTCCAAACTAACTGTCCACCGAACAGCTCTCCTGGGACGTTCCTGTTGTGCCTCAAATTCAACGCACCAGAACTGTATTCCTTGGTCCACCTCTGTGGCAGCTATGGATTGGCTTATTGCCATCCAGCATCTGTTTGCCCCGGGACTGAAGAGGTATAGGTGTGATGAGGAACTGTACCTCTCAGTTGGACCCTGTATACTGAAGTGTCCCCCGCCAGACTCTTTCCTGGTAGATTTGAAACTAAGGGGCCACAAAGACAACATCCTGCCCACGCTGAGGCTGAAATACCCTGTGCACTTGCACTGTACATGCATGAAGCTCTCCCCATCCTAATAAAAAAGAGACAAGTCAGGCCCTATTATTCTCCAATCTGAAACTGAGGAAAGTAAGCCATAGGGAGGTTCAGTACCTTGCTCAGGAACATATAATTTAATGTGGTGTCAGAATTCAAACCCAAACCAAGAGTGGTGGCGCACGCCTGTAATCCCAGCACTGCGGGGGTGGGGCTGAGGCAGGAGGACCACTGTGAGTTCGAGACCAGCCTGGGCTACATAGGGAGTTCCAGGTCAGTCTCAACTACATAGTGAGACCCTGTCTCAAAAATTAAAAAATTTTTTAAAAGAATTCAAACCCAGGTACAGTGATGCCTTGGGTCATGATGCTTCTGTTGACAAACAATTTGGTTCTCAAACAAACATGTTCAACAAAATTTTGCTTCTGTTGACAAATTCCACATTGGGTGGCAAACACAACTATAGCCATCTTCCCCAAACACAAACACAACCATCTTCCCCAAAATCATAAAACAAATTAAATTCATGAACTGAGGTACCATTGTGGTATAACTGAATTCAGAGGCACACTTTACCAACCACTTCCCAACCTTTTTTTTTTGAGACGAGGCCTTATTAGTTTTCCCAGATAGGATTTGAATCCAGCCTCCCCAGGGCTAGAATTACAAGTATGCACCACTAGGCCCATCTTAGTACCCTTCACATTTTGTTTTGTTTTGTAATCCTTGGTCTTGACCATTAGATTATATCACCCAAAGCCGACACTGAGACAAATAGAACCGAGCTAAGGAAGGGAAATAGAGCCCTGCTCTCTTCATTTGGGCCCTGAATTATGCCAGGCCTGAGGCCAAAACTGCCCTTAGACTTTTAAATTACCCAGGCTAATAAACTCAGTTCTGTTTGTTTGGTTTTTTTTTTTTTTTTTTGGTTTTTTTGTGCGATCTGCTTATGTTGAGACTGACCCGGAACTCACTATGTAGCCCAGGCTGGTCTCGAACTCACAGGATCCTCCTGCTTCAGCCTCCCGAGTGCTGGGATTACAGGCATGCACCACTACACCCGGCAACTCAGTTCTGTATAAGACAAATAGTTTAGGTTTTCTGTAAATTCAGACCACAAAAGGCCTAGCGAATAACATAATCATTCCAGTAGGAGGCATCACCACCCACTCAGATATTTAGGCCAGAAACCAGGGTGTCCATCTCCCTCCTCCCTGCACACACACCTCTGCTTCCTCCCTCACATCCAACTAGCAACCAGAGGGTCTGCTGAATCAGATTTTGCTGATTTTTTATGATGGCCTCCTTCCTGCCTCTTTACTTCTAGCTGGTCCCACCTTAATCCCCCCCCCCCCCCCCCCCCGAAGATCCAGATCTTGTCATGCCACTCCCAGCTTGAAGGCCACCAGTCACCTTGCTGTCCCTGGGACAACCTTTAGCTCCAGGCCATTCTAGCCCCACCCACTGCCCACATCTCAGCTCCCTCTTCCCACCTAACCACAAGTTGCCAAAGCACTCTCTGCCCAGGGTGCTCTTGCTCTGTCTTGCCTGCAGAAGACCCACACATCACTCCACCTGTATGGTTAGCCTTCACCAACTGCTAGCCAAGTTCCCCCTCTGCCCTTGGCTCTTTCCACCTGGGCACAATGTATAGTCTATTTTAACTATAGTCTTGTGACCCCTGCTCTTTACCAGACTATGAGCTCTTGGAGGACAGAGCTTGTCATTTGTCTCCTGGTGACCAGTTCCCAGAATACACACTCAGTAGGTCCTCCTGGAAGGGACAAAAATTAAGTGCTCCAAGGAACAGAGTGGGTGGTTCCACAGCTCTTCCCTTCTCTCCCTTCCTCTTCTTTGCAGATGGTCAGGTTCGTCACATGCTAATTATAGTACAGAAAGACTCATCAGTGGACAAGACTTATCTATTGGATCCTCACCAGGATGTTGTTGCTTCCACTTCAGGATGGAGAGACTAAAGTTCAGGAAAGACTGTGATCTGAAACTCAGGGGACATACACAAAACCCACTCTCATCTCAGCACCAGCCTCAGGCTAGACTCTGAAGGAAGCACTGCTCTTGTACACACTAGCCACAGAGAGGCCGCAAAGGGCTGGCACGAGAGTCACTTTCTGCCCCACACCTCATATCTACTTCCAGAATGACTTGGAGCTGAGGGGGAAAAGGTCACTACAGGGAAAAGACCAGGGGACAGGGGTCATGGTGGGGGGCTGCATTTCAGTATCTGCTAGAAACAGGTCAACCTGGAGGGAAGGGAACAAACCACTAATTCTAAGAGTCAAGGGCTAGGGCCAGGTGTGGTGGTACACACCTGTGATTCCAGCACTAGGCAGGCTGAGGCAGAAAGATTGATGAGTGCAAGGCCAGCCTGGACTGCATAGTGAGTTCAAGCCCAGCCTGAACAACACAGTGAGATCCAAAAAGTGTCAAGAAAGGGCCAGAGATGTAGCTCAGTAGCACTGCACCTGCCTTACAAGTGCAAGGTCCTGAGTCCCATACCAGGTACTAGAGAAAAAAAAAAGTATCAACAGCTAGAAACACAGACTGCACACAAGAAACTTGCATTACCAGCATTTTTAATAACAAGCCATAGAAAGTGATGGGCCATTTCTGGATTGTACAAGTACCCTGGGCTTCCAAATGGGTGGCACTCACCAGTAGCCCTCAGCAGGGACACATCAGTGGCCTCTCACATCAGCAGTGCCCACACCACACAGGATGAGACTGAGCTCATGTCCACAGAGACCTGGTGGACAGAGGGCACAGCATCTCTTGCACTGAGCACCCAGGATGTGTGGCCACTTCCAGAAGGACATACAGCAGCCCATAATCATTCCTAGAGCACAGACCCCACAGGTCTACACCCAGCGGTACTTCAGAGGGTCGAGGGGAGCAGCTCAGAGGCAGCAGCTGGGTACAAGGGCCCCAGGATGTCACCACAGTCCAGGGCCTCCCAGTCTGTCATCTGCAGGATGAATGGGTCAAAGGTGGCAGTTCTCCGGACAGCAGCTGGAGGGGAGCAGTCCTAAAGGCAGACCACCAGACCATGCAAGGTTCAGAATTTGTAGATGGCCAGCCCCACCCTTGCTGGAGGGAAGCTGCACTGCTGTGAGACCGAGGGAGGGTCAGGTAGACCTTGCAGCCTATTTCAGCCCAGAGTGAACTCTGGTTGGAAGAAAGTTATGGCAACACCGACAGCACAGGCAGATGGAGCTCTTCTGGTGCTCAGACCTGCACTGGCCCTCCCTCATCTCTCACTCCCTGCTGGTGCCTGAGGGAAGGACAACAGCACTCAACATTACCATTTTCCAAATTCTTTTCCTCCCCACTCCGCCTGATCAAGGTCAGAGTTCCAAAGCAAACATCTGTTTCTTCCCCCCAGGAACACTGAGGTCCCCAGCATACCTACAGCCACTCCAAACATTAAGATGAAGGAAAAGCAAAGGCAGGAAGTTGAGGAAAGTCTGCCTTCCCCCTCGTGATCCTCACCCGTCACTGGTGTGAGCAGACAGGATGACGCTGAGGACACAGGCCTTCCCTCCAGCACACCCCTAACACCCCTAACACCTGAACCCAAAGGCCAACGTGACAGACATCATCCCTCAGCTCCAACCACCCGGATTTTCTCCACAGGTGTTTATTCTCGTAGCCCTCTCAGCCCTTCCCCCCTCCTCAGGTTCCAGCCAGGAAAGCTGAGTCCAGATGGCTGGGGAACTGCTGCCACCTGGCATCTGGAAAACTGATCTGGCGGCAAGCGGGTATCAGATAAAGCCACTGGAGAGGCAGAGACAGGAGGAAGCAGTGACAGGGGCTTGGGTCGCAAGTCCCTGACTCGAGTTGCTCATAAATGTGTGCACAGGAAGGTTTGTTCTTTTGGGGAGAGAGGCCATGTTTTTGCATCAGACTCTCAACGTGGGAACACAGGGGAAGGGAAGAGGGCCAGAGTAGGAGGGGCAGTCCAGGGCAGGAATGAGCCCCGGGTCTACTTCTATCTCTGCCATTCTCTTACACATACCATTCTCTTACACATGCTACTTGCTTCTGTCTGAGTTTCAGAGCTTTTCTCAATTTTCTGAGCTTCCCTCTTTGTAAAGGAAGACCTGGAGGCCCTCTATCCCAGCTGAGTTCGGAGAGGCACTGGGGCAAGGTGAGAGGGAAGATGCTAAAGCAGCAGAATGCATCAGATCAGAAGTTGGAAGAACCTGGGTAAAAGAAGTTCTTCCCACCCCACCCCACCCCACCCCACAAGGCCCAACAAAGTAACGGGGAGGGAATGTCCCCTGGGCCTAGCCGGGTGCTGGTGCCAGGTGCAGTCACACACATTCTTCACCACCCTAGACGGCCCTCTCTCCAAGGGTGGGGGCAGCGTCCTCGAGGTGAGAAGTCGACAATTCAGCAAGGCCACTGTGGCGCAGCTGCCCAGGATGAGTGCCAAGTCATGAGCTGCTCCACAGGAATCACACATCGTCGTGAGCTTCACAGCTGCTTAGCTGCACCTGCCCATACCCTCCCACTACCCCTCACCAGCCCTCCTCGCGGTACCCAGCAGGAACTCGCTTCTCAGAGGGAAAAGGGTGAGAGATCAGTCACCCCCAACAAACACTGACACCCACAGAACCTCCCACTAGCTCCCGGCATCATGGAACAGAGGGGATGCACAGGGAAAGCCACACACACCACCCAGGAGAGGTAGCCTTGGCCTGGAGTTGCCTTGTCCTTTGGGCCACCCAGGCCCTTCCTTCCAGATGGTTCCTGTCTTTGACCAGACAGAAGTAAAAAGATCCAGACACAGCCCCCACAGCTGGGACCCCTCAGCCCCACTTCCTGGAGCAATGTGCTCCTGAGGCACCCCAGCTGCCAGCAATCTTCCATCCACACACACCCAACTCATACCGCAAAGCTCCTTGCTCTAGGCGGTATCTGTCCTCCAGAACTAAGCAGGCCACACTCCCCATCTGAGGATGCCCGCAGCAGTCTCTCCCCAGCCTCCAGTGTGAAGGACAGGGCTGGGCCCTTGCTCTTAGTAGCTGCAGGGGTGGGGCAGATGCAGAGTGGGGAGAGGGGTGCCAGAGAAAAAGGATCCAAAGCACACTGTGCCCCCCTCAGCCCCTCTTTGACCCATCTGCTCTCCCCTCTCCCAGCTACACCGTAGCAAAGAACATAAGGCAATGGGGACAGTTAAATGGGAGGAGACTCAATGCTGCCTGAGACAATCCTGAGGAGGAAGATACACATGGGGTACGAAGCTGCAGCCCCAATCCTCAGACTGGTTGGGGCTAGGGAGATCAGTCTTGATGCAAGGCTGATTCTCCAGTTGTCTGGCTGCACCCAGAGAGTGACCCTCAGTAGGAAGGCGGTCACCATTCCCCACCCCCAGCCCTACTCTCTCCAGCCTGACCCTCTCACCTGTGCCCTGCATGCTGGCATGGAAGAAAGGCCTCTTTCACAGGTGTAGGGCACGCAAACCCCAATACAGCCTGGCACCTAGTTGTCGCCTCTGCTGGTCTCAGCCTCGAGGGATGCACGCCGCTCATGAGCCAGCAGCCCTGTCAGGCCATGGGCACGGACAAGGAGGCTGCTGCCCAGGAACAGGACCCCGCAGAAAACGAGCAGCGACAGCACACCCAGCACCACAGCCTGCACCACGCGAGGCCCCTCCGGCGACTCTAGCAGTGCCCCAGACTGGTTGCAGCAGGAGCTCAGCCAAGCAGCTTGGGCCACACTGTCTGCCTGTGAGCTGTTCATGCTCCAGCACCCCTGTCCAGATGTGTGCAGGATGCCAGATGTGCAAGAGCTCCGGCTGGCCAGTGGGCGTGGGGCCGCATAGGGGAGGGATCTTAGAGGCGTGTCCCAGAGGCACTAGGCCCCTTGCAAACAATGCTCAGGCCCCTCCTTTACAGATGGCTCCTTGTGTGGACTACGGTCCCTTCTCCATAGGGAGATCCCCGGACCCTGCCTATTTCTCCTCCCAAGTGTCACATGCTCACCTATGCACAGCCTGCCAACCAAACTCAGGAGCCCTGTACACAGTTCTCCTTCCTTGGCAAAGGTCAAGAACCAGCACCTCCCTCAGATCCTCAAATCCCACTCACACACTGGCTGGGATGCTCCCCACTCCACAGGACACACACAAGAATTTTCTGCCCCTAGACCAAATTCTGCTAGGTGGCTCAAAGGACTCCTGGGACATAAGGCTAATGGGCAGTCTTAAGGATCTGAGTTTCCCCTGGGATAGACAAGCAGGCCAATGCCTCCTGAAGACCCAGGGCACAGAGAGATGGAGGGCAAAGTAGTGTAACTCAAGGCCCTCACACTCCTCCTGTCCACAGGCCTATTTACCTCTACACCAATAAGAAGCCACAGACCTGTGCCACCAGGTCTCCCATATCCCACGTCAGGAGCATCTCAATGCCGAAGGGGACGGGGATGTTAGAGTCTCATCCATTGTGGCAGCCCACTGCCAGCTGTTGTGTCCCACAACCCAGCCAGGGTGGGAGAGTGGAGCAGAGTCTGGACACACAAAAGGAAGGTCAGCATGGAAGCAAGACACGCATCCTCATCTCCTGGGAAATCCTGTTAACAATAGCATTTTTTATTGAGACAGGGTCTCCCTATGTAGTTCAAGCTGGCCTCAAATTCACAGGAATCCTCCTGTCTCTGTATCCCAAGTACTGGGTTACAGGTGTGCACCACCATGCTTGGCAATGATCTTTGAGTTAGGGGTGTGTGTGTGTGTGTGTGTGTGTGTGTGTGTGGTACTGGGTATTAAGCACAGGGCCTTTGCACTGAGCTACATTCCCAGCCCTTTTCCCCTATTTACTTATTTACTTACTTATTGTTTTGAGATAGGATCTCACTAAATTCCCTGGGCTGGGCTTGAACCTGCAATCATCCTGCCTCAGCTTCCCAATGCACTAGGATTACAAGTATGTAACACCACACCCAGCTGAGTCTTCCTTTTGAAAATAGTCACTGCTGGGAAACACCTGTATCAGTCAATACCTACAAAGAGGCAGGCCCCTCAGACTGCAGCAGGCCACATGGGGGCCACAGGCCATCAAGGATTTGTTGGAAAGGGTCTTCCCCATCCCCAAACCCTCTCCCAGTTCTTCAACTCTGATGCCAGAGGACATCACAAAACCTCAGTCAGAAAACAGCTTGTGGGGAAAAAAAATAAGAAAACAGCTTATGGCCAAAGAGAGTGACATGGGAAAAAATACAAACATTTCCTGGCTATGGACCACTGGTAACACAACTTCTCCCACTTCACCTGAGCATGCCTTCTAACACACAAGTCATTTAGTCAGGTTGAATCTGCTACAGAGGGAGTCAAAGGGCATTGCAAAACAGAAAACAAATCCATAGAAATGTAGCACGTGGCTGGGCGTGGTGGCGCACGCCTGTAATTCCAGCACTTCAGAGGCTCTGGCAGGAGGATCTCTGTGAATTCAAGACCAGCCTGGGCTACACAGTGAGTTCCAGGTCAGTCTCAACTACATAGTGAGACCCTGCCTCAAAAAAATAAACAACAAAAAAATGTAGCACATGAGGGAGGCTTTGAGTACACTTGTATAAAACTGAGTGAGTTACCAAAGCAATGCTCTAACAATCAGCAAGGGTAATCCAGGCTGGAAGAAGTACAGTAGACACCACCAAGCCACACTCTCCCAAGACACCCACACACTACACACACACCAACACACATCAAATGACTTTTCTGGTGTATAGGGACCTGTGGGTGCTCTATGGCCACATAGAAGACATTCTTTGTGGTACCATGAAGACCAGATAATATAAAAGCCAGGGATGTCACGGCTTCCCCTGCAAAAGAAATAGCTCAGTCACATCCAAAAGCAACAGGCCCTTACCCCAAGCTGTCACTCATAGGACTGATCATGGTCACATCCGTGTGGGTAACATCTACCTATGTGAATGTCAACAAAGTGCAAATTATGTCAGTTTTAATCTGTCTTTAATCCCAACGATCCATTCCCTCAGCTTGGAGTCACGTTCCTACCCACAGCCATGTCCCTGAAGGAACACCAGGAAGTCTTAGGGCAGGGCAAAGGCAAAGGAGAGACAGATGAACCCAAACTCATGTCTCAACTTTATTACCACCTTCGTGGTGGTTCTTCTGTACAGTGGAGAATGAAAGGGGATTCTCTCCAAGGGAGTGGAGAGACTGTCAGCAGAACCCAACTGTCGGCAAAGGTTCAGGGATGACGAGGGGCTGGCAACCACAAAACAAAGAAGCCAAGGGTCACCCTTTCCAAGTCTCACCGAGAACCAAGAGCAGGCTCAGACTCCCAAAGGCCTGACAGTACAGTCCCTGGAAGCCATAAAGGAGCTTCCACAACTCCAGGAAGGCCTAGAGGGCAAGGGTGTCTTTGATAAGCCTACGCATGGTGGTGGTTACTGAGGTACCCAGGGCATCAGTGATCTGAAAGGAGATCTTATAAAGGTAGGGCTGCACGTCCCGCAAGCCTGTGTCAAACACGTTGTCCACCTCCGACTGCGTGGGCATCTTGGGCAGGTATTCATGCCTGTTCATCACCTCCACAATGTTGATGATCTTCTCACAGAGCTTCTCACCCACCTTCTCCCGGCAAATCTGCCGCTCCTGCTCCGTGGCCAGGGCCACCACATGCACCTTGACTGTCCACACTTCCCACGGGATGCACTCATCTGAGAAAGGCCACCGAGATTTCTTCTTCTGATAGAACTCCAAGGACATCTGCCCCAACCCATCACCACCCGAGTTTCGCAGTGCATCCTGGGAAAGAAGAGGTAACATGAGCAGGCCAAAGCCTCTGAAGAGCTCTCACCCTGCCAGTGACTACTTCCTAAGCCCCAGGAAATTATACTCCGCCAGTTCTTAGTCCTTCAGAGATGGAAAAGTATGAGACTCAGAGAGAGTAGACAATTTGTATAAGATGACACAGCAAACTCCAGCCTCAAACTGAATAGTTCATGCAAATCAATACCACAAAGGCTGGGGATTTAGCTCAGTGGTATCATCACCTGCCTTGTAAGCACAAGGTCCAGAGTTCAATATCAGGTACCAAAAAAAAAAAAAAGCACATGACTCCAAGCCCAACTCCTTCAGCTGTCTGTTTGTTTGCATGAGATAGGGCCTCACTATGTAGCAAAGGCTGACCTCAAACTCAGTGATCCTCCTGCCTCAGCCTCCCAAGTGCTGGGATTATAGGCGTGCGCCACCACACCCAGCTTTTCCATTAATTTCTATAAGATAACAGTCTGACAATTTTACCAAATTTTACAACTTATTCAATATAAGAATTGACTGAACCTGGGCTGGGGCTGCAGCTCAGTGTGAAGGCCCTGGGTTCTATCACTAGGATTGCACAAAAAAGAAAAGAAGAAAAAGAAAGGAAAAAGCAAGCAATCAAACAGAGAGGTGTCATAAGAGCTGTGGAGCCAAAGAAAGTCAAAACCCACAGCAGCAGTGACCGCCATCTGCCAAGGGGACCGAACCACATTGGCTTCCTGCTCTCCCTTCTCCCGAGGACCTATGCAGGCATCCTGCAACCG